GTCAGTTTAGCACGAAACTTGGCGCACGCGACCGCCCAAGCACAAGAGACTTGTGGGAGAAGACGAGACTCCAATCGGGTTCCTGGTTTGGGAGTTAGAGCTGGATTTTGGTCTAGGCAAACTAATTTATTAAGAAATTTGAATTGGAGGTGTTAATGCCCCAAAATTTCTAAACAGAATCGGTTTAGCATGAAACTTGGCACACACGACCTCCTAGGCATGAGAGATTTGTGGGAGAAGACGAGACTCCAATCGGGTTCCCGGTTTGGGAGTTAAAGTCGGATTTCACTGTAGGCAAACTAGTTCATTAAGAAATTTGAATTGGAGGTGTTGACGCCCCAAAATCTCCAAACAGTGTCGAATTAGCACGAAACTTGGTACACACGACCGCCTAGGCATGAGAGACTTGTGGGAGAAGACAGGACTCCAATCGGGTTCCCGGTTTGGGAGTTAGAGCCGGATTTCGGTCTAGGTAAATTAGTTTATTAAGAAATTTGAATTGGAGGTGTTGATGCCCCAAAATCTCCAAACGGCGTTGGATTAGCACGAAACTTGGCACACGCGACCGCCTAGGCACGAGAGACTTGTGGGAGAAGACGGGACTCCAATCGGGTTCCCGGTTTGGGAGTTAGAGTCAGATTTCGGTCTAGGCAAACTAATTTGTTAAGAAATTTGAATCGGAGGTGTTAACGCCCCAAAATCTCCAAACGGCGTTGGTTTAGCACGAAACTTGGCACACATGACCGCCTAGGCATGAGAGACTTGTGGGAGAAGACGGGACTCCAATCGGGTTCCCGGTTTGGGAGTTAGAGCTGGATTTCACTCTAGGCAAATTAGTTCATTAAGAAATTTGAATTGAAGGTGTTGACGCCCCAAAATCTCCAAATGGTGTCGGATTAGCACGAAACTTGGCATACACGACTGCCTAGGCACGAAAGACTTGTGGGAGAAGTCGGGACTCCAATCAGGTTCCCAGTTTGGGAGTTAGAGCCGGATTTCGGTGTAGGCAAACTAGTTTATCAAGAAATTTGAATTGAAGGTGTTGACGCCCCAAAATCTCCAAACAACATCGGTTTAGCACGAAACTTGGCATACATGACCACCTAGGCACGAGAGACTTGTGGGAGAAAACGAAACTCCAATCGGGTTCACATTTTGGGAGTTAGAGCCGGATTTCCATCTAGCGAAAATTATTTACTTGAATTATCTTTGTAATTATATAGTAGTTAATTTTTTTATGTTTTTTTGTAATTAAAATATTAACACATAATTATATTGTCATTAATTATTTTTATTTTTTATTTTCAGATATTTCTCGCGTAGCAGTTTGCTTCTTGTGGAATACGGGCGTGTGAAGATTGCGATTTACTTTTGTTTTTGTTACCCATGGAAGAATCATGAGGGATACTTTTGTTTTTGATTTACATTATTTTGAATTGTGAACAACATTATGTATTTAAACATTGTATATGTATTATATAATATTATGTAGTGAGATAATTTTGTTAATGTATTGTAATGAATGAATGCAAGAATATTTTTATTATGGATAAATTGTTATTTTTATACTGAAATTTTTATATTATTATGTAATTATTGGTTTCTTTTTCAATTATTTTTCATTTAATACAGGTAATTTTCATATTTTTAATAATTTTATTGTAGTTTTTTTTTTTTGAGACGACGCCACATTGTCGTTGCAAATGATATATGCAGAGTTGAGACAAAATCCTTTTGCGACGGTACTCTTTGCCGTCGCAAATAATCTTTTAGCAATGGCATATCGTGCTGTCTCAAATATTTTTTTAGCGACGGCAGGTATCCCGTCGCAATAAAAATTCTTTAGCGACGGCAACATAGTACTGTCTCAAAAAATCTCAGATTTTTTCATATTAATGGCGACGACAAAATTCCGTCCAAAAAGGCAACTTTGCCGTCGCAAAAAAAAGGCGACGGCAACGTGCCGTTGCTAAAATCTTTTTGCAACCCCCCACTCGCCGTCGCTAAAAAAGTCATCTGCCGTCGCAAAAAACCTTTTGAGATGGCATTTTGAGTAGAAGTCAAATTTTTTGTAGTGATACTCTCGTACCAGGGAAATTTTACAATACACATTTTTTAAAGGTGGCATAGTTATAACATTATTTTAATTATAATTCATAAGATTTTTTTTGTTTTACTTCATGAAGTGTTTGATTATGACTTATTTATTTATTTATTCTATATATTTTAATTATGATAATAGAAATATAAAATTATGTCATTTAAGAGTGTGTATCATAATTTTTTCCTCATATAAAGCTGTATCTTCATTTTTTTTATTATCATAATTGATTTTGTTTACTGTATGATATGTGTTTCTGTTTTTAAGACCTGATATAAACTTTTTGTGTAGGTAGACTTTTAATTTTTATTAATAACTAAATAAAGCTATCTTCATCTTTAAAACTATAAATTAATTCGATCTCGTCGTGCACTATAAACCTGACTGTTATCAATCTGATCATTCGAAATTGAGATTTATCAATATTTATATATATTTTTAAAAAGCCTCATTTCTCTATTGGGAATTTAACATTTAAGTGTTGCTTTCAAAAAGTAAGCTAGATGGCTGAAAAAATAAGATTTTATATTTTATTAGTGTGGAGTTTACTTGTATTAATTAAAATGTAAAAATATATATATGTTTTTAACATTTAAGTGTTGCTTTCAAAAAGTAAGTTAGATGGCTGAAAAAATAAGATTTTATATTTTATTAGTGTGGAGTTTACTTGTATTAATTAAAATGTAAAAATATATATATGTTTTTAACATTTAAGTGTTGCTTTCAAAAAGTAAGTTAGATGGCTGAAAAAATAAGATTTTATATTTTATTAGTGTGGAGTTTACTTGTATTAATTAAAATGTAAAAATATATATATGTTTTTAACATTTAAGTGTTGCTTTCAAAAAGTAAGTTAGATGGCTGAAAAAATAAGATTTTATATTTTATTAGTGTGGAGTTTACTTGTATTAATTAAAATGTAAAAATATATATATGTTTTTAACATTTAAGTGTTGCTTTCAAAAAGTAAGTTAGATGGCTGAAAAAATAAGATTTTATATTTTATTAGTGTGGAGTTTACTTGTATTAATTAAAATGTAAAAATATATATATGTTTTTAACATTTAAGTGTTGCTTTCAAAAAGTAAGTTAGATGGCTGAAAAAATAAGATTTTATATTTTATTAGTGTGGAGTTTACTTGTATTAATTAAAATGTAAAAATATATATATGTTTTTAACATTTAAGTGTTGCTTTCAAAAAGTAAGTTAGATGGCTGAAAAAATAAGATTTTATATTTTATTAGTGTGGAGTTTACTTGTATTAATTAAAATGTAAAAATATATATATGTTTTTAACATTTAAGTGTTGCTTTCAAAAAGTAAGTTAGATGGCTGAAAAAATAAGATTTTATATTTTATTAGTGTGGAGTTTACTTGTATTAATTAAAATGTAAAAATATATATATGTTTTTAACATTTAAGTGTTGCTTTCAAAAAGTAAGTTAGATGGCTGAAAAAATAAGATTTTATATTTTATTAGTGTGGAGTTTACTTGTATTAATTAAAATGTAAAAATATATATATGTTTTTAACATTTAAGTGTTGCTTTCAAAAAGTAAGTTAGATGGCTGAAAAAATAAGATTTTATATTTTATTAGTGTGGAGTTTACTTGTATTAATTAAAATGTAAAAATATATATATGTTTTTAACATTTAAGTGTTGCTTTCAAAAAGTAAGTTAGATGGCTGAAAAAATAAGATTTTATATTTTATTAGTGTGGAGTTTACTTGTATTAATTAAAATGTAAAAATATATATATGTTTTTAACATTTAAGTGTTGCTTTCAAAAAGTAAGTTAGATGGCTGAAAAAATAAGATTTTATATTTTATTAGTGTGGAGTTTACTTGTATTAATTAAAATGTAAAAATATATATATGTTTTTAACATTTAAGTGTTGCTTTCAAAAAGTAAGTTAGATGGCTGAAAAAATAAGATTTTATATTTTATTAGTGTGGAGTTTACTTGTATTAATTAAAATGTAAAAATATATATATGTTTTTAACATTTAAGTGTTGCTTTCAAAAAGTAAGTTAGATGGCTGAAAAAATAAGATTTTATATTTTATTAGTGTGGAGTTTACTTGTATTAATTAAAATGTAAAAATATATATATGTTTTTAACATTTAAGTGTTGCTTTCAAAAAGTAAGTTAGATGGCTGAAAAAATAAGATTTTATATTTTATTAGTGTGGAGTTTACTTGTATTAATTAAAATGTAAAAATATATATATGTTTTTAACATTTAAGTGTTGCTTTCAAAAAGTAAGTTAGATGGCTGAAAAAATAAGATTTTATATTTTATTAGTGTGGAGTTTACTTGTATTAATTAAAATGTAAAAATATAGGTTATGATTAAAAGAGTATAAAAAAAATAAAAAAAATAAATTAAGTTAATAAGATAAAATATTATATATAAATTATAATTATTATTATTATTTTCACAAAAAAAAGTTTAAAAGTTAAAATATTCTTTCTAAACAAAATTAATTTAGTTAAATTAAATTAATAAAAAAAAAGAGAAGAAAAGGTAAGCTAAAAAAAGGTTTCGTTTGGTTTGCATTTCGGAAAAAATTTTGGGAAATTTTCTATACAAATAAGTTTTTAAAAAAAATCAAACCAAACAAATTTTTTCAAAAAAACTTCTCAAAACTTGTAAACCAAACAAGTTTTCCAAACAAATCTCTCTTTCACACACATCAAATCAATCACTTTTTTCAAAATTCTCTCTCAAAATAATTTTTCAAAACATCTTTTAAAAAAAATCAAACCAAACAATTTTTCGTACCTTTTATCTCTAAAACACATCTTTCAAACACAAACCAACCTACCAAGTCTTCTTAATCGAACTCATAGTCTACGATTCATAAATATCTAATTTTTAAAAGAAGAAAATAGCAAGAGAGTCAAAGAAAGAAGCACTCTCTTTCAGCTTTCCCGACAACACAGAGTCAATGGCGGCCTAGTGCCCACCTGTTTCATCTTCTCTCTCTCTCTCTCTTTCTCATCATCCACCATTCTCTAGCCACCTCCTCCCCAACCAATCCAGATTCCCAAAACCACCATGAAAACCCACCACTTCTTCTTCTTCTTCTTCTCAGTCCTCACCCTCTCTCTCTACAAATCCATGGCCTCAGAAGACGACATCAAGTGTCTCGAAGGAATCAAAGTCTCTCTCTCCGACCCACTTTCCATGCTTTCCTCCTGGACCTTCACAAACACCTCCGTGGACTACATCTGCAAACAACTCACCGGAGTCTCTTGCTGGAACGACAAAGAGAGCCGCGTCATCAGCCTCCAACTCCCCACCATGTCCCTCTCCGGTCCCCTCCCTGACTCCCTCCAGTACTGCCGCAACCTCCAGTCCCTCGATCTCTCCGGTAACTCCCTCTCCGGTCCCATCCCTCCCCAAATTTGTATCTGGTTACCCTATTTGGTAACCCTAGATCTTTCAAGTAATGGCTTCTCGGGTCCCATCCCTCCCGAGTTCGTCGATTGCAGGTTCTTGAACAATCTACTCCTCAATAATAACAAGCTGTCCGGTTCCATTCCCTTCCAGTTGGGTCAGCTCGATCGCTTGAAGAAGTTCTCTGTCGCCAATAACGATCTCTCCGGTTCGATTCCCTCCGATTTGTCCAATTTCACCGCGGATGACTTCACTGGGAACAAGGGTCTCTGTGGGAATCCGATTCGATCGAATTGTGGGAAATTGAGCAATAAAAGTCTAGCGATTATCATCGCTGCAGGGGTTCTTGGAGCTGCAGGGTCTTTGATTCTGGGTTTTGGGGCGTTTTGGTGGTTTTTTATGCGTTCTGCTCGGAAAATGCAAGGTGGGTATGATGGTGTTGTAGATAAAAGCAATTGGGTTGAGAGATTGAGAGCTCATAGGCTTGTTCAGGTTTCTTTGTTTCAGAAACCCATTGTTAAAGTCAAACTGAATGATTTAATTGCAGCTACTAACAATTTTGATCCGCAAAACATTGTTGTTTCTGCAAGAACAGGGGTTTCGTATAAGGCGGTTTTGGCTGATGGGTCGGCATTGGCGATTAAGCGATTGAGTGCTTGTAAGCTTAGCGAGAAGCAGTTTCGATTGGAGATGAATAGGCTGGGGGAGCTCAGGCACCCCAATTTGGTGCCTTTGTTAGGGTTTTGTGTTGTGGAAGATGAGAGGCTTTTGGTGTACAAACATATGCCAAATGGGACATTGTATTCGCTCTTGCATTGTGGTGTTGGGAATGGTTCATTGGATTGGCCGGGGAGGCTTAGGATTGCTTTGGGTGCGGCGAGAGGCCTTGCTTGGCTTCATCATGGTTGTCAACCCCCATACGTTCTCCAAAACATTAGCTCGAATGTGATTGTTGTGGACGATGATTTTGATGCTCGTATATCGGATTTTGGGTTGTCGAGGCTTATTGGATCGGATTTTGATGATGGGTCTGTTGTGGATGGAGATTTGGGGGAGTTTGGTTATGTGGCTCCTGAATATCCAATGATCATGATTGCTTCGATGAAAGGTGACGTCTATGGATTTGGGGTGGTGTTGTTGGAGTTGGTGACAGGGCAGACGCCTCTTGGAGTGACTAATGCTGAGGAAGGGTTCAAAGGGAACTTGGCGGATTGGGTGAGTCAGCTCTCTGGCTCGAATCGGAGCAAGGATGCCATTGATAAGTCTCTATGTGGAAGAGGCCATGATGATGAAATAGTGCAAATCCTTAAGGTTGCTTGTACTTGTGTGGCCTCTAGGCCTAAGGACAGGCCTTCTATGTACAGTGTTTATGAGTCGTTGAAGAGCTTGGCCGAGGAATACAGTTTCTCTGAACAGTTTGATGAGTTTCCTTTGAACCTTGATCTTGACTGTAAGGAGTAGATTTTGGTGCAAAATGATTCAAATGGGATGTTTTCACAAAGCGTTATGCAAGGAAATGCTCATTTCTTGTATAGTTTGCAGGAAGTGCTATGTGCCATATATAACCTTTTACTTTCCGCAGCATTGGTGTAGCTGCCATTCTTCTTCCATAAGCTGCGTCCGCAATTCTTAATGTTGGTAACATGTTTATTCTATGTTAAATTATTGTGGTTTGTTTGTTGTGCAATATACTTTTTCTTTGTTAGTTGATATCTCATACTATACTATTTTAAGCCTCCGTTTGGGAAGTGGGTTGGCTTTTTGGCTTTTTTGGCTATTTTAGCCTGGGCTAAAAAGCTTGGTTTGGGAAGGGCTTTTTGGCTTTTTGACTTTTTGGCTTTTTGGCTTTTTTTTGTGAGAGAAGAGTGTAATGATTATGGGTTGGATGTGATGTTTTGTTTGTTGTGGCTAAAATAGCCTGTTTTGTCTTTTGTGGCTATTTTAGCCCAACCCACTTGCCAAACACCAACTTAGGCTTACTTTTTTCTCTTTCAGCATTCAGTACATTTCATACTTGATGATATTTACTATTCCTCATTGCCTCAAGCATCCGATAAAAATTCGAACTTCAGTGTTTCTTGGTTTCAGTTTTCACTGTTCTTGAACTTTTATTGCATACAGATTATGATGTATCATAATAGGCTTTCTATGCAAATTAGTCTGGACTATGATGAAATGTATAGGCCCGACCCTGAGACTTCCAGGGTCCAAAGCTGATAATTAACTAATAAATTTTTTGAGTTCTTCATATTTTTTTTTTCCATTGGATGAAAAAAAATTTGAAGATAAAAGACAAGAGATTTATGTCAAAATCACAAAAAATACTTAGTATTACATTACAACAACTAATAAGTATCACTTGATTCTCGCTCTTCTTTCATTTTTAAAAGCAAATAAATCAATCGTACTTTTATAAGAGTCATGATGAGCTGAGATCAAAATTCTTTTATAGATCAAAATTCAAAACAAGAGCACCACCACCACTTAACAAAATACAAAATTTTTAAATTATGTGATGTGAATTATTAAACTTAAACAAATTCTTCTTGATTATATAAATACCAATATTATAATAGTAATTAAGTAAAAAATAAGATAAATATTTAATTAATTGAATAAAAAAAATAATCTACCTATGCTTGTTGTGCTGCTGCTTCTGCTCCGTGTCTCTGTTTGTGTGCCGCTCAGTGCCGCTCAGTTGTGCCAGTGCTCTGTTTGTGTGCTACTCGCTGCTCAGTGCTTTGTGCACTTTGTTGGGTTGCTGTGAAGCTATTGGCAAAATTGGCTTAAGAGTAGTTAGGTATAGGAATTAGATAGGGAGAGAGAATGGGTTCTTTTAATTTTGAATGGGCCTTTCAATTTTTTAATGGGTCAATTTATTTTAAGTTAGTTTGGACTTTTTTTAAATTTTTTTTGGACTTAAAATATACCTAATATATTACACTAAATTATAATAAGAGGGGGTTCTTTTTTTGGATCTATTTTGAGGGGTCCGAGGCCATGGCCTAGTGAGCCTATGCTCAGGGCTGCCCTGTGTAAGACTAACATGGCAATTGTTCACTGAGGAGTCTGGACTATCTCATTCTATTGGTGATCCTGCATGTGTAAACTTTTGTTTTGAAGTAGCCTTTTAGATTATATAACAGGAGCGTTATGTTGAATCTCCATTTCTGTACCAGTAGTAGCTTCCGAAAGTGGAAACTTTGTGTTCAGTTTCATTTAGTTATCAAAAAGATAGGCACCAACTTTCTCACCACCTTGTGAGAGTGGCGGTGAGAAATGTGATTTCTGTAGCATTGTTGTTATTGGTTTTGAGACTGTTGAAACCCTTCATAGTATAAATCACTTATTCACCCTATATAGCTTGACTTGAATCAAAGCTGGTCTGAGAATCCCTTTCTCTTTTATTTTGTGCAAGAAACAGTACGTGCATGAAAGATTGAGGGGTACGTGCCCATCATGGTGTCCTTCATAGGGTCCGCCACTGCTGAGGAAGCTTGGTGACTTAAGCCAACAACTGTGGTTTGTAGACATGCTTGTGAACTTGGATCTTGAGTTCATGCTTGGTAGTGTTCACTTACTATGGAGATGCAATTACACTCAAAACACACACAGCAATTAGTTAAAGCAATTAGGTCAATTCCACTTAGGTCTTACTGTGGTGGTTCGTTCATTGAACTCTTGAGTTCATAGCTAAACTAAGAGTCTCAAATTGAAATTTTTTAATTTTCCTTGATTCATAATTGCTTTGGATCTTTAACTTGATATATTCTGATGACTATGCAAGTTGTGATATCGTAAAAAGTTGTCCAAGGATATAAAGTTGAGATGGAATAATGGATGGTCAACATTATCTGTATCATGGGCCATAAGACACTCTTTTTTGTGTTTTTCAACCCAACTCTCCATGTGAGTGTCAGTTTCATGTGTTTGTTACATATCCCTTTGGATGTATGGTAGTTTTTGTAAAACATATATATAAACACACTAGTATTGGTATATCCGTGTAGATATTGCATGAGCACATGCTCTTGACCCTACCTTCCCTAAGGCCCCCCCAATAAAGATCTCTCAAAAGTTTTGAGTTTTAGTGATATGCGCTGATGTGTTGATTTGACAGTAGGCAGATACCTATTTGACCACCTGAGGGTGGTGCCGGGTGGGCTGAAGCTTACTTTTAATTGGTTTGATGAATAGAAGTCATGAATTCGAGTCTTATCATCAATTGGTTGAGCACGAGATTTGTGCCAAGTAATTTTAGGTTATTGAATCTTCTTCACTAGGCCTTGAATTGAGCTAGAGTTGAGTTGTGCCTTGATCTATTTGTGGATGTGCTTGTGGATTCACATTGGCAACCATATTTATAGACAGAAATTTACAACAACAATTTTGAATCATTAGTGGAACGCCTCATAGTAACTAACTCACGGACCTACTAGACCCAACCAGCAATGTACTCCTTTTTTCATTAATGATTTATAGACAGACAGGCATCTACAAGAGCTTTGAATCGTTGGAGTAAAACCCATGATAGGACTCCTGCCAACTAGACTGAACCGGCAATGGCAGGTTATTAGTGGCAATGGATTGAGCTCACCACTTCGCCACAATTTTTTGTTTTTTTGTTTTGATGTAGTAATTATTTTTTTGATAAAAAACTTAATACCCTTTTTTAAAACATTAAAAAAAAAAGAAAAAAAGAGAGCATTTTTGATAAGTTACCTACCGTAGTGAAATTGGCATAAAAAAGAGAGAAGGAATCCTATTTTTAAAACAAATGACGGTACCTTTATTTTCCAAAGTTAAATTTATAAATTTTAAAATTTGTTGCTGTTTATTAAAAACTACAGAATCTTTTTTTCTTTTTCCCTGTATCTAAAAAAAACAAAAATAAAAAATAAAAAAAAAAACCACAACAAAAAGAACCCATTCGCATCTTCCTCACGTTCTCATCTTGTAAGCAGAAGAAAAAAAACAAAACAAAAAAACACAACAATGCACATAGAACCCCGTACAAAACAAAACAAAACAAAATCCGCAGCAAGATCATAGAAAATTTGTGATTGCAACTACAAATAAATTAAAAAGATGAATGTCGTGTGAGGTCTAGAAATATCAATTGATTTGGTTGTACTTTAAGAAACCCAATCTCATTCATCACTTCTCTTTCCCCCCTCAATCCAAAACAATTGCGGAAGAAAGCTCTGTCCAAACGACACATAATTCAATTCTATAAAATTATTTTAACCGTTGCTCACATTCTCAATTTGTCACTATTGTCAGTGAAAACGGGCAACCGACCAACATCCATTCCCAAATCTGCTTCCTACCTTAAAATTGTAAAATTACAGTAAACACAATATACCAAATGTCATTTGCTGCTTCCTCCTCCCCAAAAAATATACAAAGCAAGAAAAAACAAGACTCTTCGTGCCTTTCCATCAGCTCTCTCTCTCTCTCTCTCTCTCTCTCTCTCTCTCTCTCTCTCTCTCTCTCTCTCTCTCTCTCTCGTTCTTTGAGCACATAATTGAATTCAGCAGCAGAGCAAACTCGAAACAAAAAGAATGATGTTGATTGACAGTGACCCTCAAACAAGGAAAACTTCCTCTCTCCCTTAAAGACACATCTACAGCAACACCAATAATGGCAACCGATTCAGATATTGCGATCACAAAAAATAATCAGGAGTCTTACGCGTAGTATCAGGCTCAATTTGCCGAGGTGCCGGGTCAAACTGAAGGAAATTCTGATCCATGTTCTCCCCAATTTCTAGAATCGCAGCCATGTTCCCACACCGGTAGCAGTAGTTCGGAGCGCTAAATACAGTCACGACATTCTTTTCCTAAAGAAAAGCACGAAAAGCAATAATAAATAAACATATAATGCAAACAGATTAACGCTCCAATTGTTTCGGCAAAATATTTTCCAACGAAAACATCCTTTCAAAAACTTTTTCTAAAAAATGTTTTCCAGAGAAACCGTCCCCTATGGTTGCATTGCATCCATATAATGGTAGCTTTAGTGGTGGGGGTGGTGGTGGGGGTGACAGAGGGGGAGATAGTGTGGTGGCATTAATAAAACTGCATTAGTGGTGGGGGTGGTGGTGGAGGCGACGGAGGGGGAGGTATCGTGGTAGCATTAGTAAAACTTTAATCCAGAAAATGTTTTTCATGTTCTAAAATATTTTTTTAAAAAAAAATGGTAGAATTTTTGGCCCAATAGATTTGTTTTCCGGTGACCATAAAGAATAAAAAATAAAAATTTGAATTCCGTTTTCCGTTGTACCAAATACCAAAAAATACGGAAAAACCCAAAAAAACAGTAGCAAGTTAAAAAAAAAAAAAAAAAAAAAAAAAAATAGGAGTTGATCTCATTTTTTAGCATTCACAAACCTGACACCAATTATAACCTTCCATGACAAGCTGGTGGGCTCTTGAAATCAGCGTGAGGCCATTGGTGTGGTTGAACTGAGCTGCTATATCCTGTCCAAAAGTATAGCCAGCTCCACGGGGAGATATTCCCCACCCGCATCGATCGTCTGGATCAGACCATAAGAGATCACACATTGGTCCTTCATGTGGAACCTACCAACCCGCAAGCAAATGTTAGAAATGCTGACAAAGGCAAATTCCTTAGAAGAAAAATTGGACATTCATAAAATGATCAGAAAACGATGGAAATAAAAGTGTAAGTAACCAAATTTTAGCAGATGGGTGGGAAGAGAATCAAAGCAATCAGGTGTTTTCCCTTTTTTTATTAGTCAGAATATCAGATGATATTTTTGCCAATTTTATTTCAACAAGGAACCCAAGGGTGGAAACTAAAGAAAAGTAGACCGCTCCGTTTATGCCATGATGGAAAGGAAAAATGCACACACAAAGTGCAAGCCCAAGTTCCTAGGGTTTCTCCGAAGGCACAGCTCAGGGCGGGGGAGGGGGGCTTCAGTATCCGGCAGCCTCTCCCCTCCCTTCTGCCCCTCCTCTCTTTTGTTTTTCTTGTCCTTTTTGGCTCAATAATACTTTGGAAGCTTAGTCTTTTCATTTCTCCCTCCATGAGAGGTCTTTTTCCCCTTCTTGGTGGGAACTCTACTCTTCATCCTCACTCTTCTTAGACTTCCCCAACCGGGGCCTCACCGGATCTGCCGATCTCGTCCTTCGTCTTCCGTCAGCGCCGCCTCCACGCTACCAGATCTGCCGGATCATCCGTCTCCTAAGTGTGTTGGGCATCAGATTTGCTCCTACCACCTCTCCACCACCAGAGTTGCCATGGATCTTGGGATGGAGGTCCTTTCTTTTCTGTTTGTTTTTTCGGTTTTTGCTTGTGGTTTTGGAGTCATCTGTGCTTGGATTGTGGCTTTCCAAACTTTGTGGTTGAAATATATGATTTATCTCAGATAGACTTTATTGTCAATTTTGATCGGCTCTGCTTTTGCAGGATGAGCCCAAACACATGATGTTTGTCTGCACATTTTCATATTTTTTCTCCAAAGTGCTTCTTGTAATTTTCTTTACTCTGTTTTGGTGTAAGCTTGGTTGTTTGATGGCCCTTGTAAATGCCGTTTTTGGCTTCCATTAATGGATTTCTACTGATCCAAAAAAAAAAAAGTGCAAGCCCCAGTTTTAAGTTGAGAAGGAACTACAGCAAATACTAAGACTGGATTTAGCAACAGCATCTAATTTGTAGCATTTCATGAAAAATATTCATAAATCTGATCTGGAAGTTAAAATAAAAATCACCAATTAGCTCATTAGTTGGGACTTCTCACAGAGAAAGACACATAAATCACAACAATGTATATCAGTGATTAGCAATCAGTTAATGTACCTCCTGTATACGGTCCAAAGCTCGGACATTGTCTAGCGTATCCAAAGAAGGCGAAAGTCCACCATGCAAACAGAAAATCTAAAATGAAATAGTATATAGCTGTCAGAAATGGTCATAAGAACAATCAATACATAACTTGTGTAGAATGTACAACTCAAACCTGACTCTCAATCAGTGCTGTAAGGGGAAGATAATCAAAAAGATCAGTAAAATACTTCCAGACATTGGCATTTCCGTACTTCCTTAAGCATTCATCATAAAAACCATACCTGGGAAAACAACAAAGAGGAAAAGAAAGAAATATGAATAATAATGAGAGCTAATAAAGTAGAAACACAGTTCTGAGCTGTGTGAAACAGTTTTTCAATTAATTGTGAAAGTCTTTGACTCAATGTTTCCTTCTGAATAATTGGTCATCATCAAAGTTATGACTCATCTCGAACAACAAAATTTTAAGACCTTGTTTGATATCGATTTCAAAATTTTCTTTTTCATTTTTGCTTTTGATTTTCATGTTTTCTGAAACAAAAGTAATGAATAGTTCAAAAACACTCATCGTTTTCTTATTGCTTTGTTTTGAGTGCCAGAAACAGTTTTAGAAGTGGCAAGAACCACCAAACTGATCAATAAATTGTTTAAGACATTATTGCTGATCAATTTTTTTTTGTTAAGGCATAACATACATTTTGTACATGCCTGCACACAAGCTCACTAAATAACTATATTTCTACTCTTAAAATTGCCCAATTAATTAGTTACTCAAATTGGAGATTATTCTAAATTTTTCAATGCTTGCCCTCAAGATTCACATTTATTTTAACCTGCTCTTACATTTTATTAGCTCCTAACAGGTTTGTGAGCAATTTTTTGTGAATAAATAAAATTTTGTTAGGAATGAAAAAGGGCACCACTTGTGTCCACATACGCCACATGCAAAAGCATATACAGGATCACAAATAGTTGTTGTTTATTCCATTCAGAAATTCAAACAGACTCAGAATTATTTCCAAATAAACTTCATGTACGCTTTGGAAACTGGAAGGTCCTCAATATCCAAATTCTCGCCCCGACCATCATATACAATATTGTGGCAAAAAAAATTGAGAAAATTCAAAATATAGTCAAACTTCCGTGTTATTTACATATATTAGTATTTGCAGTACAACTAGCAGTTCAAAAAAACCTAATATGGAGCCATTTAATGTACATAAGAAAGAGAAGGTCTCTAATTTGATTAGTAAATGCATTTACATCGTTTGATTACTTGTACTTTAGACTACCAAATGCATTTACATTGACTACAATATGCAACATGAAAAATTAAAGGCCTTACACTTGAGTGATTTGCCGGCTCTCATGATTTCCTCTAAGGATTGTAATTCTATCTCTATAACGAACTTTCAGAGCCACCAAAAGTGTGACAGTCTCCACTGAATAGTACCCACGATCTGCATCATTAGAACAATAATTAAAAAGCTAGAAGATTCATATATCATAAAAATGTCAACAAACTGTAGCAGACCTGTGTCTCACATAGCATATCATTCCATTAAATTGTATGGACAGAAACCAATGTTGAGCTTAATAGTCCATACAAAAGCACTAGAGAGCAAGCAAGTTGACAAGGCCCACAAATTTGAAAGAAAGCAATATCTCTCGGCGATTCCCTAGCAAAAATGTAAGGTATAACTATTACCTTCGAGACAGTTTAACCAACAGCTACTAAAAGTACTATTATTGACCATAACCAGAGATTTTCTTTTGCAACTCAATCAAGCTAAATTAAGTATCCCAAATTCTTAACTATTTTGCCAAGTTTACATGGATTCCCCTTCAAATTTCCACTCATTCTTGGGCAATATTATATTCCAATTCATAGACTAACAGGTTTTTCTGCACCCACTTAACATTATTTAAAGTTTAAACCTTCTCCTGCCATTTTAGTACCTCCGATTGTAACCATATTACCTCATCTTCTACTGCAGTCATTACTCCAGTCAACGGATTTACAATGGCCAAACTATTTGATTCTCTCCAGTCAACAGATTTACACTTAGTTCTCACAATGCTTTCAAGGTTTAACTTCAATCCATCTTTATAAACGTTGAGATTAATTCATGTTAAAAGTTATGTTTCATCAAGCACAATAAATGTTACTTATCAGAAATAACTACTGAAATGTTATTACTGTTATGTGATAGTTTAAAAATACCCTCCAATTTGACCAAATATACACCAGAAACATGAATCTGATTCTTTCATGGCTTCATTCCGTTCCAATTTAGGAAACCAAAATTATACTAATACAACCCTTACAGTATAAAATATTTATCTAGCAACTATTCAGAAACTTCAAGTTTCCAATGAACATGGTCCCACAATGGATCAATTTCCAAATATCACAGCAATTTCATATGGACAAGACTTCAGCTCACCAAAGATGCAAGAATTCAGAGGACTTCAGCTTACCAAATATGCAAGAATTCAGTGTGAGGTCAATGAAGCCTAACGACACCGTCCTTTTCAGATGCATTCCAGGGTTTTTTATTCCTGCTTTTGTTTTACTTTTTTTTACTTTCCAATAGTAGATGCAGGCATGCAGTAATCATTTGGATAAAAATTAAAGAGACATGCATTGGCAACCTAAAACTATAAATGTATAAGACGAATGCAGCCTCCCGAATAAGCCCAGTTGCATGAATACAGAACTAGGACTTGCTTAAAAGTATAAACCGAATGTCTTTTGCATGTATACATCAATCCATTTCATTATGATTCTGCCCAACCACTAAACTACATCTCAAGCTTAAACACATCACTCCTCCCCAATATCATCTTTGATGATCATTCATCAATGCTCGAAGCTAAACAACAATTAATCAATTAGTACTAGCTGTTGCCCCGTCTCAACCACAACCTACTTTTGGATTCAAAAGCTAAGAACAAGTAAATATTAGTACCTATATTAAGATAAAAAAAATCGTGCTCCAAAAATATAGAAATTCACACGATATCCTAGCAATAACTTCACACATAACTCTAATATGTCAATAAATAGATCCAAATTCCAACATAAGACTCTTGTGATGATCGATGTGGTATTTTCATTGTTTCCTTTTTTGCGTTTATAAACTATCTCCAAATCATGAAATCTAACATATAAATATTACAATATCTAACATATCAGTGGACAAACAATACACACAAATCAATCAATAATATCCAATCAATACGAATTCAATTACAGATCACCAAACATTTTCTTCTCTGAAAATCAAAATCTCCAACCCTTATCATTACATAAAACATTAAAGATATCAGAAAAAATTGAGGCCGTGATTGTGAAAGACTCACCAACGTAATCTCCCATGAAAAGATAATTGGTGTCCGGAGCATTTCCGCCTATCCGAAACAGCTCGATCAGATCATAGAACTGTCCATGAATATCACCACACACCGTGACAGGACACTTCACCGGCTGTACATTCCATTCCTCAACAAGAATAGCCCTAGCTTGATCGCATAGTATCTTCACCTCAGCCTCCGTCAGAGGCTTGCACTCCATCAAGTGCTCGATCTGCCGATCCAGATCCGCATGCGAAGGCATTCTCTCTCTTTCTCTCTCTCCGATCTAAAACAGCTACCAAAGATCGGACCTCAAAAATTGATTCGCTAAGTGCGAAGATTTCGATTCAATCGATTCGATCCAGAAAATTAGGGTTTCACTCTGGATCGGGTTTTGAATCGTCCGATCGTCACTCGAAGACTTGCATTTTTCTCATCGTTTTTCTAGTTTTGAGATTCATCTCCATTCATGGAATCTCTCTCTCTCTTTGTCTCTCTCTAAAAATTGCAGGAAATTGTATATGAATGTACAAAAAGTATAGTATAGAAACAGAGCGAGAGGAAAATGAAGGTGGAATGGAAGAATTGTGAAATGAAAATCAAATGAATCCGAAATGAAATGAAAACACACACTCTCTCTCTCGAAATGAAAGTAAGGGACGAAATTTCTCGCTCCGGTGGCTCCGCCGAGTCAAAGGGTTTTCGACACGTGTCAAGGCGAGCTGCTCATTGTGGAGAAGTTATCTGATTGGTTTCTCCGGATGTGCTGTACTCACACATTTTAGCTCGATTTAAAAAAGATAAATTACGAACTAATATTATAAATTTGTTTAAATTAAATTGTGGTAATTTTTTTTCCAATAATTAAAATCAAATTACAAAAAGGTAATTTTAACCATAAAATTATTCTTCATTCAAATTTCACAAGTATATTTAAATTTTTCATAATAATCTCAAAAGGGGTGGATAGTTGTTCTTTTTCTTCTTTTATTTAGATCTCAACAAGTAAATTTAAAATTTATTATAAATGAATATTTACAGTAGAAGTTATTCTATTTTATTTTTTAAAATTAACATGAGAAGTCAAAGTGTAAAATGCTTTCCAACAAGGGACAAGTCTATCCCTATTTTCAAATTAAAAATGAAGTGTAACTTGTTCAAGATTAAAATGAACTTAACCTATCAATTTTTTTAAAAAATGGTAAGGATTAATCTAACAAAACAATCATTCGTAGGACCAATAAAAAAAACCCCAAACATTCAAAAGATTTTCCATCAAATAAATTTTTTTATTGATATAATCTTATTTATAATTATAAAAATTAAAATTCAAGCTCGACTTAAAAGATAAAACAAATCAATTTTGATCATATTTTGGACTTTAGTAAGTTTTTAAGGTTCCGTTTGCTTCGACATAAAATATTTTATACAAATAAATATTTTTCTTGTAAATTATTTTAGACAAAAAAATGTTTTGTTTCTATTTTTCTATGTTTGTTTGACACTTAAAACAAAAATATTTATTATCTAAAAGACTTTTTGAAATTTTAAAGGTAAGTTATTTTTTAAAAAATGATGCAAAAAATATTTTTATGAAAAAATATTTTACTTATTTGTTGTTCAACCAAATAACAAAAAATGAGTAAAATATTTTTGACAAAAATATCTTATATCAAAACAAATAAATCCTAAATTAAATTTGAAAATTTTACTACAAGACTCGAGTTAGCTTATTTACAGAGTCCAATAGATTGTTGAATAAAACCATAAATTTGAAATAGGGGAAATTACCCATAGGTCCCATGGGAAACATGTGATCTCCATTTAATCTCATAACTTTTTCACTACACCCAAAAGTCTTTTCCTCTCTCTCTCTGCTTTTTGCTTCCCTTCCTCTCTCGTTTTTTTTTTCTACGTTTTTCTGTCACCGTGTTTGTCATGAAAGAGGACCACCGGTGATCATATCTTTCTCCATTGATCGAGGTCATTGATAACCACCAAGCATTGAAATCAACTCCGACGAAGAAGATGATATATTTTTCGACGAAGAAGATGAATGGATCTACTTAGATCTGATATAGATCTGAGTAGATCTATATCAGATCTAAGTAGATCTACACAGATTTGGTTAGACATCCGTCTTTTCCCTTCGATCTTTTTTTTTTTTTTTTTTTTTTTTTTTCTCTCTGCTATACACTTCTGTTTTTCTGTTCTAATGGAGAAAATTTTCGAATTCTGAACAAGCAGTTTTCGAGTTTTAGTTACAGGCGGTGAAAACTGTAAAATTTTGCAGTTTCAAATTTTTTTTTTGGTGCTGGAATGAATCATGGTTTAAAACTGTAAAATTTTGCAGTTTTATAACATTCTTTAGAACTGTAAAATTTTACAGTTTCATAACATGTTTTTTAATTTTTTTTTTCCGATAATATTCTAGACATTCCGGTGAGTCTCCGGCGACCGTTAAACGGAAGTCCGACGGTAGTAAGATGTGAACAGTGTCTATAAATTTAAAAAAAAAAAAGATTTTTTGGTAACAATTAAAAATGTGTTGGACTAATTGGTGCAAGTATTTTGTTTTGGGATTAGTTGGGTTTTGAACTTGTTACATGGGACTTATCAGTAATTTTCCCTTTGAAATATGACTATGGGCCATTTTTTGTTTTTTTTGGACTGACCACATACTCCATGCAAATGCTGGACTTGTTATGATTAGTGTCTGGGCAGAACTGAAAGCCCACTATAACATCATAGTCAAGCCCAGCCCGTCCAGCTGCCCAAGCTCAAGTGCGTCAACATGTTTGTCGAAGGAGATTATAAATATTGTCCGGGACTAAAAAGAAAAAATAAATAAATTCGTTGTATCACACATTTAATTGGAAAAATATGTTCTTATTATTGAATAGATTACTGCATAATTTTTGAAATTAACAAACACATTAATGATCCTTAAATTTATTTGTCATTAAATTCTTATTTATGTTAAATTGTTAGAACCGAATTGATTTATCGAGATCAATTGAAATTTCATATTTCGATTGTTTTTCTATAAGGTATAGTATGTGCCAGTTTAAAAATAAAATAAAATTACACCAATACTAACAAAATAGATCCAAGTATTATATTAAATGCTTAATATATTCTAATATTTTTTGTATTAATTAGATAAGTGACCAATATTACACATTTTGCAATAAAGCTTAGGGAGGGAGACATTTTTAGAGCAACTCCTACCCTTTCTCTTCATTTATTTCCTATATGAGATTATATAAATTTTTATAAATCTATTAAAGCATCTTGTGAATCTCTCATTTATAATAAATCAAAAAATTGATAAAATCAAATAGTAGTATGTAATCTATGTCAATTCTTCGACCAACAAATTCGAAAGGGTTGATTTTGTATTAAATTTTCTCTCAAATCTGACCAAACCAAATCTATTACACCCCTACTAAAAAGATTTTTGAATATCTTGTGAAATTTCTCAAATCAAAGCCTAAATAAAAAAAATTTAATCACAGCCCAAGCTTGATCACTAGGCTGTCTCACACACCATCTTAACTGCAACAAATTAAAGCTATTAAGTTTTTGGGTGAATGAATCCCCTTTTTTTCTTTTTCTTTGTTCCCTTTTTGGTAATTGCCCCAATTTGAATCTTGCTAACTTTAGACCAAGTTATTGCTTCTCAACTCAACCAAGGACAAAAGTGAAAGAGGGGATAGAGAGCACATATATATGAGACCCTACTTTAATTGTTCCTCACCTTGAAGAGAAGAGAGATCATATATAAATATATATTTGTTGCTTCTTTTTTGATTTGACATTTTGTTTTTTTTTGTTAATCAGGACAATTACATTAATCCTTCTAATCAGAAGTAAATAATCAATCTTTTCCATTGGAAGGATGGACTCATTGACCTCTCAGTTAAAAGAGAATACAAAAATGACCAATTGATGATTCAACAATGTTAATAATCACAAAAATATGCATACAAAAATAATGTGGTCTGAATTTATTTTGGACTACAAATCAACGTTTTAAAACACATACGCAAATTGAAAAAAAAAAAAAAAAACACCACATCAAAAGGTCATTGGTTCAATTATTAGATAATTCCAATCATGATAATTACCTCTTAATATATAAAACATTATACAAAAATTAAAAATATTGATTCTGAGATACCTTAGGAGCGGAAGCAAGTAAGTACTTTAGCATGCATATATTTACACATTTAATATAAACATATCTACATAAATATATTCAATTAAATTATTTTTCTAAAATTAATTATATCTTTAAAAGAAAATGCAGTGATTATAATAAATAGTATACATTTACTAATTATTTAAGGGAGGTATCAAGGGTTGTTGAACCTCGCTGAAAAGTGGCTAGAGAATCGATAACAGTTGGTGGTGACTAGAATGAGCGGAGAAGAGAGCCAAAAAATAAAAATAAAAACAAAATGAGAAACAAAAACATTAGCGAAGGATGCCTAATAGTTTTTTGTGCACCAAACATTATTGTATCTATTTTTATTTTTATTTTTGATAGATACGAAGTTTGACAAGTTTGAATGGGACCAATGACCAAAACAGTCTCACAACTCCCCACCAAAGCACCAAAGCATCGAGTGAAAAAGACTAACACAAACCCAAACCCAAACACAATATATATATATATATATATATATGCAAACAGCTTTCTTTTATGAGCTGCAATGCTCTCTACACCTTTATTTGGTGGATTCGCTTTAAGTTTCCAACAACATGCCAACTCTTCAAGACATAAACTTAAACAAGGATATTATAACAACTATTAAGAAAAAGTTGTTCCTTTTTGGTAATGAAGAATATATGATACATGTTCTAATATATTAAATTATTTATCATCAATTCATCTAAAAGTTTAATCATCTTTCACATATAAGTATTTTAAGTTTTTGATAGTCAGTGAGGTTCGTATACAGAATTCATTGTCTACTTTGATAGCATAATGAATAATAATTGACCATTTATTTATTTAAAAGTTTAAGTTATTAAAGAGAGGAATAATTTTATTATTTATATTATATATATTCAACACTATACACAAGCTTAGAAAAAAGATGATTAATTATTTATTTTTATTTTATAGCAAGGAACTCTTTGACTTCACTTTTAGTGGTAAAACTTTAGATATGTACAGTCATTTATTAATTTTCCAAGCAAAATTGAGACTTCAATCTAAGATTTTTTGTTGTTGTTTATTTGAAAACTTACCATTTGAGCTAACTCTTATAAGTATTGGGTACCGATATCATATTATCACATGATATTACTAATCGTCAATCTTCATGTTATCACTTTAAGCACGAGATGAATTTTACTTCAATCAATCAATACTCTGATAAAGTATTACTTGACAATATGCTTGGACTGCTTGATAGATAGAGACTGATATGCCTTTACATGCATGCATGGCTGCAATATTTCTTGGTTTGTGTTCCATCTACTTTTCTTTTCATAGTATTCTCTTATTAGGTCATACTAAATTGTCGTTAAGGTAAAAATAGGATAAAAATAATTAAAATTTTAATATTTTTATAAACATTACACATTTAATATATTATTTATAAATTAATGACATATCCTAAAACAATCATTAGATTTTTTTGTTCTTGTGTTAGTACTTGACATCCAAATGCATTTGTCTTTCTTTTCTTTTCTTTTCTTTCTTTCTTTTCTTTTTTCTTTTTTTTTTTTTTTTTTTTTTTTTTTTTTTTTTTGTATAATGTGATAAGAATTTAAAACTATAAAAATTTCAATGTACGATTGTATAATTAAAAATACATTAAGAAAACAAACACAAAAGTTTTAAGATAAAAAAAATCCCGTGCCTATCAAATTTATATCTCTGAAATAAATAGAGAAAAAAAAATCACTGAAGTGGGGTATCTGCATAGGCTGTTTACTCTTTCCAGTGATTCTTTTTCAGTGTATTTTGTGTGACAGAAGCTTCCTTTTTCTTTTGCTACCTACCAATACCTCACTACAACAATTTGTGTAATAAGCTAAAAAATCTCATACAACACCTCACAATATCTGGGATATTAATGATCAAATGTTTTCATGAGCATTTGTATTCCCATTTTTCACAAATTACATACAAGAGACGCCAGACATGGATTTTGCCATTTGTTGCCCTTTTGTTGAAGCTTCTCAAAGAACCCATATGGGTCTCATTTTGATGATCTATTCTGTCCATTTTTAAGGATTCACTGTGTAGACATCAATGAAAAAAATCAGATTGACCTGATAATCATAACTATATAATTTTATCCTTTTTGTCTTCAAAATAATAAATAGTTTATTTTTAAAATCATACTTGTTATCTATTTTGTTTTTTTAAGACAAAAAAGATAAAATTACATAGCTACTATTATTGGATCAATACGATTTTTTTTAATGGATAAATTACACACTAAAACTTAAGAATGAGTAGAATAGATTATCAAAATGAGTCTCATAATAAGCTCCACGGGCAATTACTTGTCAAATTATGTTTGCCTAAGCATGACCAGGCGGCTGTCGAGAGTTCCCAATTCTCCTGAAAAAAGAAGAAGAAGAAGAAGAAATAAATAAAATTAGCATATTGATATTAATTTTTATTCAGTACGATTTATTGATGAGTATAAAATTTTAATTTCAACAACCTATATCAGTGCCTCCTTCAATATAAATGTAATAGACCATATATTATTGGTTTGTAGTTGTTTATTCACATGTGGCCAAACTTTTTTATAAGTAGGTCAAATAAGTACAAATATTACAATTATCGATTACAAGATGAGATTCAAACGTCCCCTTGTGTATGACCGAACTTTGCTCTACAAACTCATTTACAAATTTAAGTTGATAGAAATAAGGATAATTTCATTATGAGAACTGTTATATATCACAATTTTTTTCACTGTTTTATATCATTAGAGTGCATGACAATATATTTTTAATTTTTATTATTTACATAATGATTGTTTTCTAACAAAAAAAACAACTGTAAGTATTTATATAATGGGTGATACAAAACAATAATAATAATAAAAAAAAATCAATGTACATAAAGTATTTTTTTATTATTATTTATATCCTCAACGACAGAGGTGATTACAAGTCCTTGTGTTAAAAATAAATAAAAGAAAGGAAAGAAAGGCATCATCAAAAGGCTAGAACTATTTAAAATGTTAATTTGAGTGGCTTTAATAACTGATTAAGAGATGGAATAAAGTGAATGAAGAGGCAGACTTTCTTTTTTCTCTTCTTTGAATGGTTGAATGGGGCGAAAACAAAACTTGGATCTCTAGAACTTTGAAACATGGACTTGATGTAACAGTTAAGCGCTGAGACTCTCATGAAGAAGTTTTTGGGTGGTTCAAGATTAAGGCCAGTTAGTGCACAACGTATAGTCAAATATTTTGGAATAATCTTTTTTGTAAATAAAATAAATCGAAATAATTCAAACAAAATAAAATAAAACTTACAGAACTTATCTTGTTGAACCGAATAAATAATTAAAGACCAAGTCGAGTGTGTGACACTCTGTCCTTAAGACAGATTCGCCCCACTACGGTGCTTACGGTTTGAGTGGCGTTTATCTCACAGAATACAATGATCTTCACAACTACGGTGCTTACGGTTTGAGTGGCGTTTATCTCACAGAATACAATGATCTTCACAAACTTGTAGTAGCACTCCACACAAATTTGTACGACGAACTAGAACCTTGTGTTCTTATACTCTCTTTAATTTATCTCTAAAACTAGAATGAAGATTAAAATGCAAAGGGAAAAATTCTGGACATCAAATATATAAGTTGCAGACTGATTTTCGGACCCTCTAACACTGCTGGAATGTTGGTATTTATAGGCACAAAAAGCCCTGTCCGAACAGATGTGAATCTGTCCAACAGATTCAATTTTGAAAGTGAACAGATATCATTCAAAATTCAAACAGATTTGGAACAAAACTGTCCAGATTTGAATCTGTCTGGATAGTTAAGAATCTATCCGGTTCTAAACAGTTAGAAAAACTGTTTGAATTGAAAAATCTGTTGTGGAATATTTAGACAGAAAAAAGTTTGTTTGGACAAAAATTTAAATTCAAATTTGAATTAAATTCCCGCAATAATTTTTGAAAAAATTCAAAAGAGTTTTGTCCAAAAAATTAATATTAGAATTGACCTGGCCCACACCCGTGCTCGGCCGAATGGCGTCGGCCGTGCGTGTGGTGGTTTGGGCTAAGGTTCACTTTGTCTATAACTCCTCCCTTTTACGAACTTGGGGTGCCCCTTGGGGCCCAACCCAAGTATTATTGGCTAGAGTTTATATACTCAACAAAACTCTCTTAAAATTTCAATGTGGGACAAGTCTCATAAGGAAATCCACACTTAAAACTTTAAATGTTCAATTCTATGAACTTAAAAACGGCGTCATGTTTCCATTCACTTATAAATACTTTTGATGAACCGTCTTCACCGTGTGACTTGCCATGTGACAAGGAACACTTCACTTCTTCAGACTTGCCCCAAAAGACGTTCGGGGCCCACTCAATTTTGGGCTCAAAATCGGCCCAAAATAAGTCTATATAAACCAATTTTTCCAACATTTTTTTATTAACAAAAAATAATAAATTTTATTGATAGAAACTAATGTTCAGATCATCTGATAAATTGACAATAATATTCAGACATGACCTTACTAATAAAGGATTTAACCAAATGGAATGATAAAAGTGCAGCACGTGGTGGTGCCCTGAACCAACTATTAATTCCCCCCTCATAGGTGGAGGTGATAAGATCACACAACTAAAAGGGAATATTATGAGGTCAATTATAGCAGAATTAGATTTTGTTTGTGAAAAGGATAGAGAAAATGATTTTATTTGTATTTTCAAAACAGTTACATGTAGAAAAAGCATAATAATTGCGTAAAGCTTAATTAGTTTTTATAACAAATCATCTAGGTTATTTTGAAAATGAATTTCGTTAGCTAGTATTCTAAAGATATACCTCAACAAGTTTGAAATAATTTTGTATTTTTTTTTAATAAAAAAACACATGTGATAAATAATATATAATTATTTTAAACTTGTTACTCAAATACCTTTGGAACATTTTTTTTTTTTTTGCTTTTAGAACACTTGTTTACAAAGATTAGCAGTTGCTCTGCATGCAGAATAAGATTGACAAATACAAATTTGACCATATAAATGAAATGATTTTTACCAGTCTCTCGCTAGGGCTCTTCTCACGACTTGGATTCGAAACAATAGAGATTTTCCTTAAATAATATATCCCTTAAGTGATAATTTCATATAGTCATAAGTTTTTTCCATGAACCATACGTACAAGTGCTAAATATTTTATTTCGCTTTGTAAATAAGTTTGAGGATATCTTTTTTTATTGGCAATAATTAAAATTTTATGTAACTAAAAAACAACACATCGTGATAATAAGGATATAGGGTTGGTACCTGTTATGTATAGGGTCAGGTCCATTAGGAACTCTTCTTTTGCTCATGAAGTTAAGATCCGACCTCGGTTGCACATCAAGCTTCTCACTTCCTATCGTCTCCAGACGCTTGAATCTTCCTCCTAGCCAAGAACTCATGTTTGTTTCTCCAGTTTTTGAATGCGAAACACCAACCAACAACAACCAAATAAATCCTACCAATACAAGTGACCCAAACACGGCCTTAAAAGCCCTTCCACTACTTCCCATTTCTCTTCTTTGTAACAAAAAATAAAACAATAATCAGAACAAGGAGCTTAGGTTGTTGTAACTTGTATGATAATTGTGATACATAGAGAGGTGGTAAAGAATGGAACAAGATGAGAGGAGAGAGAGTGAGCTAGGGCAAGTTTTTTTTGGGGGGGTGGGGTGGTCAGTTTTTTTTTACTTCATGGGTTAAAGGGTGGTTGGTATTCTTTATAGGTTGGAGGGTTGGAGAGAGAGAAAGAGATGACATGGATGGAGGAACACCTTTTCTTTCTTTATACTGATTTTAAGAGGTCCCCATATACGACAAGCTTTCTTTTGCTTTGATTGTGTATTTTCATGCACCTACGATTTCAGCATACCCTAACTATCATTCCTTATGTACAGACACAGTTATATCATAGGAAAAAGAAATGTATCCGGAAAAGTAATCATCAATTTAAAAAAAAAAAAAAATTTAATTGTGTTGTTTTGCTCCAAAAAAATAAAATTTAATTGTGTTGTGTATATTCAATTTCTTGTTGTGTATACTTTCTGTCGTTTTATCATATTTATGTCACATTATCTCTTATTTAAGTTGTATTACTTTTTTACCGCATCACATTACATATTTTTTAATAAAAAGTAAAAAATTATTAAAATAGCATATTCCCAAACAACCCAGTTTGAAAACATATTAAGACCTCGTTTGGAAATAGAATATTTTGGTAACTTTTTACTTTTTACAAAAAGATGTACAGAAAAATAAAGAAGGTGATGCGATAACTTATAATAACTTTTTAACTAAAATGTATAATTGACAAATGAGACCTAAATAGTCAAAAAGTCAAATTCACTGCTAAAAAGTCAACTTTTCACTCTATTTTTCTACACTTTTTTTGGTTAAAAAAATAGATAGTTTCCAAAATAACTGTTAGTGGGTGTGTGGAATTTATTTTTTAAAAAATGATATATAAGTTCACTTTTTAGACCTAATGATGTTGTCACAAAAATAATTGATTAATAATTAAATATTTTTTAATTATCAACTAATCAATTTTTTTTTTGTTGGTTTATTTTTGTTTTTAGTGATTTTTTAAAAAAGTTTTAGACTTCTAGATTATACTGCCGAGACAAACTAAAAATTTAATTTTTTAAAAAATTTTATGACTGAAAAATAGTGGAGTTTTTTTTTTCTTATTTTGGATTTTTTAATTTTTTCTAGAATTTTTCAAAAAGCTTTTACTTTTTATATTTAGCTACACAAGATGGACGGAAAAAGTTAAAAATTTAACATAATTTTGAAAAAAGAGCATTATTCTGAAAGAAAATATGACTTATTTAGAAATTTTCAAACAACTATTGTGGTTAATTGATAGAAGAAGATAACTCGGCAACAAGTAAATAAAATTATTAAGATACTTTTAGTATCAAAAAAATCATTAAGATACTTTTTAAAATCAAAATTGCGCTAACACGTCATTTTGGTGAATGGTTTTATAATTTTTATTTTCATTTTTTTAAAAAATAGCCGTTTTAATGAATATTAGGTGCAACATCAACACCATGTTACCAATTAAATGAGTAGAGTAGAACTGATTTTGTCCCAATTACGACCAAGTAGCCCCCAACCCGACCTCATTTAAAGATAAAGGAAAATTGTATTCTTACCAAAAAAAAAAATAGTAATATTTTTGAAAAAAAAAAAGTCATTTTGATAAAATTTCTTATTTAAAATAATAAAATCAATACTTTTTTTACATTATTCATATTTATTTTATGTACAATCTTTCTATTTACACGCCATTGGTTTAAAATGATATTGTCATCGCATCTACTATCATCATATATCACTCCTAGGCATGAAATCTTCAAAACGAAGCAACTCCTTTTTTATTTTTATTTTTTTATTTTTACTTTTATGAAGGATATCTAATTCTTTTTTCTTCTAATGCTATGAAACAATATAAAGGATTTCTACTTGTAGGTAGGCTACATATATATAGCTTCAAATTGTTGATGATTGATCTCTCACATACACGTGTAAATATTATAATTAATGAATAGACAGACAACAACATGGTCGTCACTCAATTTTTCTTAAAAAAATTATTTATTTACTTATTTATAATTTTTCATATGTATAAAATTGTTGACTATTAATTGATCGAAAATTTAAGTTATAAAAGAAGTGGATTACCTTTTAACAGTAGTGACATTGTCTTTAATGTCATTCAAGCTCTATTAAGTGAGTTTACTTTTTTTTTTTTTTTTTTTTTTTTTTTTTTTTGGTTGTTTTTGGGAGATCTTGAATAAAAAGGCAAACTATAGATACCAAAGCTTCAAAGCTGAAAGAAAAGCCAAAGGAAAAATAGAGCCATGAGTATGCATCATGGTGAAGAAAATGAGCATAGGTACTGAGAGGGTGATTTGTGATCTGGAGTTGGGCCGAGGTAACGGCCGAGCAAGTTGAGGGCCCAACGATGCGTGGGTCCGAGATGATCGACTTTCTGCCCAGACTTGGGCCGGGCAGAGTTCGGGCTGACTGTCACCCCGGACCGGACAGAAAACTGCTCGGTAAGGCAGTGCTCGGTCGGACCAGGATGCTCGGTCCGAAGATGGCCGAAGCTCGATTGGCCGAGTGACCGGCACCCGGGAAGGCGTGGGCAACCGAGGAAGCTGAGTGACCGATGCCCGGAAAGGCATGGTCAGCCGAGGAGACTGTTTGACCGACAGGAAGGCCGATCAAAGTATCCGGGGTAGGCTCAGCCGGGATGCCGCCTAGCCCGGTCCTCCGTGTGTGTATCCGGTTAGGCGCTTGAAGTATGAAGCATGGCATGACCGAGGTAGAGCAGCTCGGCTGCCGAGCTCCAGCTGTGATGACAGGCAGTTGAGGTTAGGTGATGAATGGCATGGTTTATGCTGACAGATGGGATAGAAGAGCCACGTGACAGGAGATGACTGGGAGTAGATATGGGGCTCAGAAGGTATATAAGCATGTCTGCGCCCCCCATACGCAACACACGAACATCTCTGTAAGAAATTCTTGCACTCAAACACTCTCTCCCTTCTCTCTATCCATCCTAGGGTGTGTGCTAACTTGACCGTCGGAGGGTTTTTCCGGTCACACACTGCCGGGTAGCTCACCGTTACTTGCTCGCAGGTGATCGGACATCGACGGAGCTCGGAAGAAAGGAAAGTGAGTTTTTTTTTTTTTTTTTTTTTTTTTTGGTTGTTTTTGGGAGATCTTGAATAAAAAGGCTAACTATAGATACCAAAGCTTCAAAGCGGAAAGAAAAGCCAAAGGAAAAATAGAGCCATGAGGATGCATCATGGTGAAGAAAAGGAGCATAGGTACTGCAGGTGGGGACCCCATAAGGAAAGAGAGCAAGTATATAGAAACTAGTTATTTAAGAAGAATTATTAAATCAGGTTAAAAAAAAAAATTCGAAAATTTATTCAAAATTTAAAATTTAAGGTCAACAATCTTTTGTGGAATATCTCTCACAACAAAAAGATTAAATCTACGCATTACATTTGGAATTTTAAGCAATTATACGGAATTCTGAATAGATAGACATTATATTATTAAATACTTTAGGAATAATGCTAAAGTGACATTGCTTACATAATGTTCCTGATAAATAAGAACTTGTAACACATTGACTAGCTAAGTCATCTTTTATCTCGTAACAGTACTACTTAATAAATGTGAGTTGTCATGCTTCACAAACATTCCAACATAGATAACACATATTTATAAGTTGTGAAACAAATCAATATAGTTAATCTAGTTCAAAATATAAACAACAAAATATCTCTCTCTTTAATAATTTAGTGGCTGGCTAATAATTTTAGGTGGTATCAAAGCACAAAATATATCATGTCTTCGAATCTCATCAATCACTACAAAAAATTAAAGTTTTAGAGATTAAAATTTAGGGACAAAATTATTTTTTAGCGACTAAATAATTTTGTTACAAAAAGTGTCGTTATTATATTTTTAGTAACAAAAATTGGACATTAGTGATGAATCATTATCCTTTTGGGACGAATTTTTTTGTCTCAAAAAATAAAAAAATTTGAGACCAAATTATTTTGTTTCTAAAAGTCTATTTATTAGTGACATTTTCAAAATTTTGTCGCTAAAGTTTTAGACTTTTCGGGATGACCTTTTAGTGACTATTCTTATGACGATAGAAATTAGTCTCTAAATATCTTTTGTAACAACATTTTCACTTTAGAGACCAAATATTTGATCTCTAAAACTCTTATATGTTGTAATAAACAAAGATGAATACTATGTGACATTACTTATATATTACTCCAAATAAATAAGAACCACAAAAGACATTGTACGGATAATCACTTTAACGATATCATATAATACTCCAAGGCTATGATAAATTTAAAGAAAAGCTAAGAACCCAAAATAGAAGTTCAAATTTAACTCTTGAATGATGAGATTTATTTCCAAAATCAATCTGAACCATACACGGAATTTTTTGGATAAATTTCCGAGTAAACTTTTTGAATGAAGAAAATAGAAATTTGAATTGGAGGATGATTGGCCTATATTACCATCATGATTTGATGGTATGTTTGACTCAATTTTTTTTTGGATAATGTATGTATTTTGCATGTTTTTCACTGTATATATTTTAAATAGACTTGGACATGTTGATACAACTTTACAATTGCGGCTATCCATGGTCCACATGCATACGACCTAATCACTTGAACCACTCTTTAGTTGAGTGACCTATGAATCTATTACAATTTTAAAATGTGTCAATATCTTCTTACAGTATAGACGTATATATAATCTTGAGGAATGGAATATAAATAAATTTATATATATATATATGTGTATGGAAGATTAATTGTAAAATAGTTTAAATGTAGATGTTCTAGAGAGCTGCCCTAGAAAGAAGCTGGTTCGTTGGAACATAGGCTTTGATTGGGGAATATAGCCCACATTACTCATTTGGTTAGGAAAAGCATATGGAACATTTTGCTCCATCAATAATCACGTGAATCTCTCTACTGTTTGAAGAATCAAATGATTCTCAAAGGGAACAATATGAGTTGGAAAGTTTCATGATTTAGTAATGAGTCCAGTTCGACCAGTGGGGTCCATTATTGATCTAATTTGACTATCTAATTTGTTTATTTTATTGGTCATTGTGGATAGATCGTTCATAAACAAAAT